CCTTAAGTTTGAGCCTAAATTTTCCTTGAGAAACTGTATAGTTCTAGGTTTCACATTTAAGTCTTTGATCCATCTGGAGTTTGTTTTTGTGTGTGGATTTTTTTTTTTTTGAGAGCTACTAATATCTTAATTCAGCCCCTGAGGTCTTACTATGTGCATGTGGCTTGTGACTCTCCAAGAAAGAGGTGTGGTATGCAGGATTTCCCAAATGTATTTGCTGAAAGAAACTTTGGAGGACAAACGTTTTGCACAGCCTGGAAATGCTTATCAGCACGAATCCCTATGAAAGGCAGTCAAGGTAAGAGCCTCTTGGTGGGCATGGAATGAAGTCACAGGAGTCTGGGTGAGCAAGCAATTATGTTCACTTGGGGCATGTGTGTCATGGATGTGTGGGGTCTAAGGCAGGGTGCACAAGACAGGTAGAGTACAGGGAGGTGAACAAAGGGGCAAGACGGCAGTGAGGCGGCACTGCAGGCTTCACACAGAAAGATAACTGAGAGAACTCTGGAGGGTAAGTTGGAATCTGAATCTATAGGGCTGTGAATTGCCTGTCAAGAAGCATGACGTTGGTGGTTTTTGAGCAGGACGACAGATCAAAGAGGCCTCAGGAAGATTTCTTTGGTGACAGTTTGAAGGAAGGATGATTCCAAGCAGAATAATAGCTGGGGGTGGGGGTGAGGAGGTCACGTGTTTTGCTTATTATTCTTTTGGGTATTAAAAGAAAAAAAAAAAAAAACAGCTGCTGTGGAGTCAGCTCCCACTCATGGTGAGGTGAGCCCATGTGGTGTTGCAGCAGAACTATGCTTCACAGGGTTTTCAATGGCTGACATTTTGGAAGTAGATAACCAGGCTTTTCTTCTGAGGTGCCTCTGGGTGGACCTGAACCTCCAACCATTCATCTGGCAGCTAAGCATTTTAACCATCTGCACCATGCACCTTCTTTTGTGTATACAGGTATCAAAAATCCAAGGTACTCACTTTCACCACCTTGAAAACAGGAACGACATGAGTGCACCGAACTGCTCATGAAGCACTGAGTCAAGTGTTACCAATTCTACCAGGAATTGTGCAAACTCAGCACAAAATGACTTCTACTTAAATAAAATTACATCACACACACTCCTGGTCAAATATACTGTTTTATTGCAGAAGGAAAAGAAAATCAATGCATTTTACAAATTTGAGGACTGCAACAAGTTGTAGATTTTCTTTCCAGACATTCCTATGCCATGTTTCCCATAGTAAATAACCTGGACACAGCCAAGAGGTACGATTTCAGATAAGTAGAAACAGGGATCCAATGCTATCTGCAATCACTTTAGAAATTTTTGAGAAAACAGGCATATTGCAATGATTGTTTAAATGTTGCTTAAACCCCCAGAAGGAATTCCTACAGAGCAGCTGTGCCACTGGAGACTGAATAATTAAAACATTCTGCCAAGTTTCAAGGCCTTCAGGCAAGAAGGACTGGACAGCCAACTGTGGAAGTGCACGAAGGACAGAGAACTATAAGTGACTAAACTGTGTCTGCGACTGACCCTGGGCCCCATGTGACTACATACAATTCACAAAATAACCAGAATGGAAACCAGTTCCTTGAGGGAGCCCAAATGGCACCTCTGGCTGTGAGAGTCAGCTGAAGGTAAAGGTTTACTTCTAATTCAGGAGGCAACAGGAAATGTGCTTTTCACTCATAGGGCAAGAATATGAACTATGCAGGCTGGCCATCCCAGCTCACCCTTTTTTCAGATTTCCCATTTTGCATAGCCTTGAGAAGGCAGCACAGCAAAGAAGAGCTGAGGAGGTGCATTAGCAACCAAACTGGTACAGGAACAGGATCAGCTGGAGGGGTTTCTGGTACTAAGCTTTGAGCTACTCTCCTAGAAATGCTGTAGACATTGACTATATTTTAAAATGAACCATAAAAATGCCCTTGATTCCCAAGAGTTTGTGAAACTGAGATGTGATAGGTCAGACGTGAGGTTCAGTCCAAGATTCCCTAAGCAACCATTCAGAATACCCCTCAAGTGCTGTGCCTGTGTGCTTGGTCTGCTGTGACCATCTGGAAGACTGTGCAGCTGAAAGGATGTGTAGAATGAGAAAATTAGGTGAGGGCCCCAGCTCAATTCATTGGAAAGGAGGCGCTGCACTGACAGTGGGCACTGTCTGACTTGGCCCTTTGGGGAGTCATTAAAGTCTAGGGGATATATGGGACTTGAGGACACAGAACTAGAGATACTAGGTTATAAGTGCTCACCTGTCTGGCCACCAGTGACCACAGGACTGTGCATGTATATAGGGTGAAGTGGGGAAAGAGGAGCTAGAAAAGGAGATGTTGGAGGAAGAGAAACATAAAAGGCCTTCAAAGAAAAAAAATCCTTTCTTTGTATTAATCTTTTGAGACAACCCATTTCCTTATCTGGGAAGCATTTTGGAGATTATTATTAAAAAACAAAACAAAACTGACAAAAAAAAAGTTAAGTGATCACTGAGCACCAAATTATTTTACAATCTTGTTTTGCTAAACTGGTGATTTCTCTTCCCCAACTCCACTATTAACCAAAATAGTCTTGCCTAACAGCCAGAAGAAACAAAAAACAACTCGAAGTGTTTTGTTTTTTTTCCTCCTCTTACAAGGCAATTTGATATCATGCTTGGGGCTCTCCCTTGTTGCTTTTCCTGCCCTGTGGCTGCTTACAGGTGAGCATGAGAAGCAGGAGCAAGGGCAGATGCCAGAGGCTGCAGAAGAACAGTCTCCTGGAGCTCTTCCGGTCTGCCTCTGTGTAGAACCGGAAGCCGAGGTAGGAGATATACAAGTTGATGGGGAGGGAGATGATGGGGAAAGTCCATGTGGTGACATCCAGGAGGGGGGCTGCTGTGGACAGTCCAATCAGGGCCAAGCAGTGGCGCAGGGCAACACGCCTGCATAGGGCTGGGTGCGTGACTGACATCATGCAGTAGCCTCCCCGGGAGTAGTCTTCTCGGAGGCCCCAGCTCAGGGCGTTGAAGTGAGGGAACTGCCAAGAGTAGAGGATTCCTCCCAAAAGAAATGCTCCTGTATACAGGGTTGGGGGAAAAGTAGTAAAGAAAGTATGTGATCATCAGAGATGTACAAATGAATCGTTTGTCCTCACCTGAGAGCTGCTGGTCCTCAGAGGTACTACCTCTGGATTTTGTCCAGGATCTCAGATTCTCTGCCTGTCTTTGTCTTCATCTCTGCATCCCCAAATCAGCCTGCCACTGAGGTAGAAAGGGGTGGGGAGCTAGCTAAATGCCCTATGGACACCTTCCAGTGGTATAACCTTAGGTAGAAGTATGTGTGTGTGTGTGTGTCAGGGGTTAGGTGGGAGGTTCCTGGCATTGGGCTCAGATCACATTGCGCTAGGCAAGACTGTCCCACACTCAGAGCCTGGAGCCTCTGTGGTTCCTGCCCACTGAATATTCTTCATGCTTCCAATATGATGACAACAAAAAGCCCCTGCATATTGATGAACACTCTGGGGCAGCACTGCCCTAGCTCTGTGCTTCAGCTTTTCAACTCTATTTCTGAGAGAGTGCTCCAAAGAGGAGGGCTGGGATCTGGTACAAGTAGAAGGGCACTCTGGTTAGCTCAGAATTCCCTGCAGGCCTCTGGTCCCCACAGGGCATCAGCGACTCCGGGTCACCACAGCCCTGCATGCTTCCCTGGGCCAGTAATTCACACTGGACTGTATGTATAAATCTGTCTGCAGTACCAAGGGTCTGCAAGGACTTCCAGGACAGACACGTGGCACGTTCCTCTCAGGATTCTCCAGAGCCCACATCTGGGCACAAACTCCAGCAAGCAGGAAGTATTAAGATAGCCTGTGTCCCAACATGGAGTGGGCCAAGATATTCTTTGGCATGAAGGAACAGGATCCTAGGGTAGAAAGAAAACTACTCTACAGTTTTGTGATTTTTTTCAACAAGGACATACCTTGAGCTACATTTACAGGATGCCAGTAAATGTTCCTCAGGAGGGGGCAGAACCTCCCCATCACACTCATGGGTAAGAAAGGAGCAGCCATGCTTATACCACATAGTCCAGGGAGGGAAGGCAGGCTACCATTTACCTATCCCGTGACAGATCCTTTCCTATAAGTTACCTCATTTAATACTGACTAAAGGAGCTCTGGTGGTGCAATGCCTGAGGCAAATGACTGCTAACCACAAGTCCGATGGTTCAAACCCATCAGGCACTCCATGGAAGAAAGATGGGGCAATTTATCTCTGTAAAGATTTGTTGTTGTTGTTGTTATTATTTGCCATTGAGTCGGCCCCGACTCATAGCGACCCCTTCTTGGGTTTCCAAGGCAGTTATCACTACAGAAGTAGGAATGCCCAACCTTCCTTCTGAGGCCTTGGAAATCCAATGGGAGTTGCTGTGAGTTGGAAATGACTCAGTGGCAGTGGGTTTTGGTTTGGTTTATAGGGCTTGAAGGTAGATCTTACAATGCTCACATAAAAAAAAAAAAAAAAAAAAAATCCAGTAAGAATAAAGGACAGTTATGGTAAATGTTTAACATATACAATCTTGAAAAAGCAGTAATAACTTAAAACAATTTGTAAGCAGCTAACATAGGTAAATATGTATGTTAAAAGATGGAGGTCATATGCGAATGTGTAGGAATTATGGTTGATATTTCTACATAAATATTTGTAAATGCTGCAATACATATTTGAATACTCATATATATAATACAGCACTAGGGGGCACAGTTATAGAAACTATTTAGACATCAGGACAACACCACTAGACTTGAAGGCTAAGGACCATAGTCTTGGTGGACTAATCTAGGTCAGCTGGCAAAACATAGTTCATAAAGATAATGTTCTACATACTAGTCTGGTAAGTAGTGCCTGGGGTCTTAAAAGCTTGTGAGTAGCTAACTAGGAAGAAATGACTGGCCTTGTTCTCTGGAGCAAAGGAGAACTAAGAAAAACAAAGACTCAAGGAAGCACTTATTCCAAAGAACTAATGACCACATGAACCAAAGCCTCCTCTAACCTGAGACCAGAAGAACTCGATGGTGTCTGGCTGTAGACTACTCTGACAAGACCACGATAGAAGGTCCCAGGTACAGTGGGTAAAAAATGTAGAACAAAATTAAAAAAAAAAAAAAATCCATACTTAATGGTCTTCAAGAGACGAGAGGACCCCCCGAGAGTACTGCCCGGAGACAACTTCCTAACTTGAAACCGAAGATACTCTCAGAAGCTATCTTTCTGACAAATAAAAGATGGGACTAAAAAACAAATAGTAACACTCTTGAAGAAATAACTATATGAGACCAAAAGGGTAACATTTGCTCCGCATCAAAGACGTGAAGACAGGTGGGAACAGAGAAACCAGGTGAATGGAAATGAGGAACCCAGGGAGGAAACGGGGACAGTGCAGACACACTGTGGGGATTGCAACCAATGTCATGGAATAATCTGTGCATGAACTATTGTTTGGAAAAGCTATGTAAACTCTCACCTAAAGTACAAGAAAATTTTTTAAAAAATGAATGAAATATATCAGATGAGGTTAAGTGACTTGTTAAAAAAGAGATGCAAGAAAAATTCAAAATGAGTGTATCTGATTCTAGAATCAGGCTCCCTCCTGATTGTAGGAGTTGCTTTCCTACAAGTCAGGCAACAGAGCCTGTAGGAAGCTTGTAGTGGGGGTGGGCAGGGCTCCCACTATTCTTGCACAATTCACTTGCTTTTTATTTCCTCAGGCAGAAAGCACCTACTGAGTGAGAGCAGAGAAAGAGCCCTGGGGATACAATGGGAGCAGAGATGTAGATATGTCACTCCTGTCATGGAGCTGCCATCTAACCAGGGTCACACTAACAACCCCAAAATCACCACACAAAAGTGCTCTGCAGAGCAATAACACTTCAAAGAGAAGCTTCCTCAGCCTTAGGGGTCAGGGAAGCATTTTCCAAGGAAAGGGGAAGCTGAGCTCTGAGGGAGAAGTATCCTAGCCAAATAAGACTCAGGGAGGAGACTGCTCAACAAAGGGAAAGTATAGTGCAAAGGCCCTGGGGACAGGAAGCTGCAGGGTGAATTCAAAGTATTAAAAGATCAGAATGTGTGTTAGGATTCCTAGAACTGTACACCACAAAAAAAAAAAGGAGGGTGGTGTAATTTTACTGTGTATGATAATTTAAAAAACAAAATTAAAGAAAGGAAAATGCGTGTGGCTGCAGTGCTAGACTGACAGGGCTGGTGCAGGATCTGGCTGGAGAGATGGGGGCAGTGCCCACTCATCACTCTCTTAGGATTCTCTCCTAAAAGCCACTGCTTGTAAAAACCCATTACCTTCGAGTAGCTTCCAACTCCCTATAGGACAGAGTAGGACTGCCCTAGTGGATTCCCAAGACTGTAATCTTTACGGACTGCCACATTTTTCTCTTGAGGAGCAAAGGTCAGAAAGCAACTGAGTACTTAACCACTGTGCCACCAGGGCTCCTGAAAGCCACTGCAGGATCTTTAAATCTGAGAGTGTGTGTACCTGTGTGTCTGTGGGGAGTGAGAGAGGAGTGTGGGGAGGGTTCCTGTTACCTGATAGATTTGTGAAAGAACACCCTGGAGGGGCTCCAAGCAGGTATGGGAGGGTCAGTGAGGAGATGAAAGATGAGAGTGGTTAGGACTAGGGTGGCGACAGAGGTGATGGAAAGCAGATGGATATCCGACAGATTTAGGAGGCAAACATGACAGGATGTGGTGCACAGATTAAATAGGTGAAGTAAAAGGAAGGGAGGCACCAAGAGCAACTCCTGGGATTCTGGATCCATGGCAGTGCCATTCCCTGAAATGACAAACAAGGAGATAGAGAGGGGAGGCCAGGAGTGTGGGCTTGAATGTGTTCAGTTTAGTTTGAGGAACCTTTGAATTATCTAAGTGTCCACCAGTTGGGTGTAAGTATGGGCTAGAGATGGTGATACAAAGCCTAGATTCTTTGGGTAAAGTTAAACTCTTTACTCCACACCCCATCTCCCGAATTGTATTAGATGCTCTGACTCAGTTACTTTTTTTCCTGCTGCCAAACCACCCCCTTCTTGGGGTCTGTGGTCAGAGAACCAAGAGTTTATCTGCCCACTGGGAAAGACCTCTTGCATAGCTGGAGAAGAGGTTGAGAGCTCGTTACCACAATTCCATTTCAGGCAACGAGGATCTTTTAAGCCCCTGGTCTGTGGGGATAAAGAGTGAGGGATATTGCTAAGACAGAATTCACTAGGACAGAAAAGAGTTTAAATAATTCAGAATAATCCCATGCCAATGAGGATCAGAAGAACCGAGCCCCACTGGAATCTCTTATCTGTATTCCCAACAGCATAGACTGAGTGATCACAGGGGCAGGCTTTGCAAATCATCTAAAAGAAAGGATGATGATAATTTTCATTCCCATTATTACTTTGGGCAGAAATTTACTAATTTCTGATTTAGGTTTCTCAGGGTAACAGGTGAAGATTTAAGAGGGATAAGAGTCTATTTTCATATCCATTAACAGTCTCCTGTGGCTTCCTTAGGTCAGCCAATTGCTTTTCAGTCTCTAACATGGGGAAGAAACACAACAAAGACTTGATTTTAGAGTCCCTATTTCAGTAGGATTGGAGCCAAGTCCCAATATCTATTCTTAACCTTATCTATAAAGAACATAGATATCTATCTTAGCTCATACAAACATGGTCCAATTTTACTAATAGTAGCAGCATCAGCTATTATTTGTTGAATTTATTCACTTGATAAATAGTTAATAGGTTTCTACTATAGGCGGGCTCAATTCTGGATGCCAGAGAGACAGCAGTGAACAAGACAAGCACGGCTTAAACTCTAGAAGGAGACGAAAACAAACAAACAGACAGTGATGAGGGCTGTTTAAAAATCAAACCAAACCAATTGCTGTTGAATAGATTCTAATTCATAGCTGCCCCTATAGAACAGAGTAGAATTTCCCTAGAGGGTTCTAAGGCAGAAATCTTTACAGAAGCAGATTGCCACCTCTTTCTCCCATGGAGTGGTTGGCAGGTTCAAACTGCCAACCTT